CAGGAGCAGTGGGCATGCCCTGTGCAGCGAGAGGGGCGGCGCTCTGTGCCCCGCCTCCCCCACCCCGAGTCCCAGAATCTCAGGAGGAGCCAGAGTGGGTGCAGGTTGTACGAGGCCCTCCCCTCCTGGGGCCCGTGGGTACGGATCTGATGGCGGAGCTCTCTGCGCACCGAGCACGCGCCAGGCAGTGCCGGCCTGGGCCTCGCCGGCCTTGCTCCCGGGTCGTGGACGAGGAGGCCCGTGCGGGAGAGGCGCCCTCATGGCTGGCCGGGCTGCGGGGCCCTCTCTGCTCCTCCCTGGGGCATCGGGAGTCCTTTGTCTTCCGGCGGGGTGGCCCGAGTCCTGGGCAGGGGCCGTGCGCACGGGGCCGGGGAGGTCCGGGGCGGCAGGCTCTCGGGAAGCGGTGGCCCACGGGACGTGGCGCACTGAGGGTGTCTGTTGCTCCCCCGCAAAGGCATCTACATCCTCATTGCCGTGGGCGCCGTGATGATGTTCGTCGGGTTTCTGGGCTGCTACGGGGCCATCCAGGAGTCCCAGTGCCTGCTGGGGACGGTAAGGTCCCGGGCGGGGTGGGGGGTGGGGCACGGCTCCGCTGGAGGCAGCACGCGTTCACTCTGGCGGGACCCCCTTGCCCTCCCGGAGGTGGGCTCTCTCCGTGGCCTGGGGACCTCTCCCTTCGGTTGCCTTGCTTGCTCCTGAAACCCCTCTGTGCTCGGTTGCCGTCCCGCCGGGTCCCTAACTCACGGTTCCACAGTTGCTTTTCTCGTTTTTAAAGAAAAGTCACAGAAACGACAGGGAGCGAGGCCCCGACCCATGGCCGGCCTGGGTGGGGAAGCTAAGGCCAGCCAATCCGGGAGGCACGGGTAGCGGGCGCTGTGTCATCACCCCCTTCCTGTGGGGAGAGGGAGCAGCGGGGTGCGCAGGGGACACGGGGCCCGCGGCTATGCCAGCCCCTCCAGCTGCCCCGCCACGCAGAGCCCACCCCGCGGGGATGGCGATAGGGTCGGCACACGCTTCTCGACTCCACGCGGCCGGGTGCCACCGAACACCCCACGCACACCTGTGCGTCACTCGGGTGCCCGTCGTCTGCGGACGGTGAGCCCCAAGCTGCCCCGTGCCTGCTCTAATCCCCCGTTTCTCTGCCCTCCTCTGGGTCCTGCACTCCGTCCTCAGTTCTTCACCTGCCTCGTCATCCTCTTTGCCTGTGAAGTAGCTGCTGGCATCTGGGGTTTTGTCAACAAAGACCAGGTGAGCCTAGGGCCGGGGGGGGGGGGGGTGGTGGGGCCCGTGCAGCGTGGACAGGAGGGAGGAGGGCCCTGCCGCTCAGCCGATGGGCCTGACCTTGGATGCAGGTGCTGTTGGGGTGCCCCCTGATGAAAGGCCACGGAGGGCTTTCTGGAGGAGGTGGCATGGGGGCCAAGTAGAAGCAGGTCCCCCTGTCTCCCAGCACCCAGGGCGGGGTGGGGGAGGCATCCAGGTCTGTCCTGGAAGCAGTGTCTTCCCAGAAGAGCCAGGTGAATGCTTGCTGCCCCGCACCACTGGGGGGAGTGGTCCCTGCCGTGGGTGTGACCTCACCCCTCCCACACACCCCTCCCCCAGATCGCCAAGGATGTGAAGCAGTTCTATGACCAGGCTTTGCAGCAGGCCGTGGTAGACGACGACGCCAACAATGCCAAGGCCGTAGTGAAGACCTTCCATGAGACGGTGCGGGAGGGGGTGCCGGGGGACCGGGGCGGCTGGGGGTTCGGGGCGTTGGCCTCTTGGGTGTGGCCCCAGCACGTTCCTCAGGAACAGGAGGGGCGTGGGGGACCTGGCAGCCCTGCCCCTGGAGGGTCCGGGAGCCCCCCTGGAGGGGATTCTCCAGGACCTGTGCATCCCCAGTGTGAACCAGATGAGCCAGTCAGGCTGCGGTGCCGGGGTCTCTGAGCAGCGCAGCTGAGAGGGAGGAAGGGAAGGGGAGGGGCCCCTGGGCTCAGTGCTCCCCCTGGAGTGGACCATCCAAGCCCCCCACCCTGGGCCAGGCTGGGGCAGCGGCTGGGGCTTCGGCAGCCTGTGGGGTCACCTGGGCCATCTCCCTGCGGATCCTCTCTCAACGAGGGCCCAGGGCTGAGCACGGGTGCCCTCGCTCTCTGCAGCTCAACTGCTGTGGCTCCAGCACGCTCTCCGCGCTGACCACCTCCATTCTCAAGAACAACCTGTGTCCTTCAGGCAGCACCGTCATCAGCAACTTCTTCAAGGTACGCGCTGGCGGGCCGGGCCGCCGGGCTTGCTCCCCGACTCGGCTGCCGCCACCCCTAGGCGGGGCTCGGGCGGTGGGGGGGGGGGGGGCGCCTGGCTGCTCCGCTGGCACCAGCAGGGATGCGGCCGACAGCCAAGCTGGGTGGTGCTGTGGCCAGTGGGGGTGCTCTGCTGGGGGGCTGGGCTGAGGCCGAGGTTTTGCTGACAGCCCCCGGGGGAGGCGAGTCTCTGCCCCCGGAGAGTGGGTGTGGATGGCGCCCTGACCTCCCAGATCAGCACCCTCCTCGTGGCACCTAGCGACCTGAGTGGAAGACAGCACGCACAGCACGTTCCGTCTCCACGTCCATTTTAAAATGGGTGTGATAGGGGCGCCCGGGTGGCTCAGTCGGTCGACCGTCCGACTTCAGCTCAGGCCATGATGTCACAGTTCGTGAGTTCGAGCCCCCCGTCGGGCTCTGTGCCGACAGCTCGGAGCCCGGAGCCCGCTTCGGATTCGGTGTCTCCCTCGCTCTCTGCCCCTCCCCTGCTCACGCTGTGTCTCTCTGTCTCTCAAAAAATAAACATTAAAAAATTTAAAAATAAATAAACAAAACGGATGCGAGATAACCTGGCAGAGACTGGGCCCCGTCACACCTCTCCCGAGGGGTGGAACCCCTCCGTGCTCTTTCTGTAATGATCTCGTGCTGCCATACCGTGGGGGCCTGAGGACCTACGCCCCTGACCGGCTGCGGGCTGTCACCCCACAGGAGGACTGCCACCAGAAGATCGATGACCTCTTCTCGGGAAAGCTGTATCTCATTGGCATCGCGGCCATCGTGGTTGCTGTGATCATGGTGAGCGCACGGGCCGGGCATCTGACCGGGGTCCCCACTGGGTCTCCGGGTGCTGACTGTCCCGCCCGCCTCTCCCCGCAGATCTTCGAGATGATCCTGAGCATGGTGCTGTGCTGTGGCATCCGGAACAGCCCCGTGTACTGAGCGGCTCCAGCCGCTCCTGCTGGGGGGCGGGGGGGGGGGCGCTGGGGAGAACCCTGCGGTGGCCCTAGAGTGACCGGACATCCCTGAGGGCCCCCCTGGAGGGGCCGCCACCGCCTATGTATAGAACTTCTCCGGTAGTACTCTGCTACACTTATTAGCCTTTTTACTTCCGAGGTTTTGTTTTTGTCCTGAAGTTCCCCGTTCCCTTTTGGGGCTGAAGTCACCTATAGACGGCATGTGAGTTGGGCCTTGGGGACTGCAAGGCAAGGGCCCCTCTGCTTCTGCAGCTGCTTAGGGGCTCTGCCCGCTCAGCCAGGCTTCTCCTGGGGGCCACGTGGCCCACCCACCTGCCCCGTGGGCTGCACGGCTCATGCCTTTTTTAACCCTCTTTCCCCTCCTGCCACTTGTCTAGAGCCGGGTCTACAAGCAGCCTTATGCCTTCAGTGCACCTCTCCTTTCTAACTTGTCACCTTCAACTGTAATTACATCTTGAAAGTCATTCAATAAAGAAGGAAAAACCGGGCATGCTAACAAACTGTCTGGCCCCTTCCTGTGCCTGCAGCATCCGAGACCCTGGGGGTGGCTGGAGGGGCAAAGGACCCTGGCGCTCGTGAGGCTCAGCTCTGCGGACCTTGCTGGGCCCAGGGTGTGCTGCCAACCTGCTGGTGGGCGGTGATGGGACCCCCGGAGAGCACTCCCCACAGCAGGTGCCCCCTTGGTGGGCCCTGTGCCACCTTCAACAGCTTCCCCCCAACCTCCCTCCCCCACCTACTCCTGGTCTACCACCACCCAGAGCAAGCAGCTGAACAGGGCAGACAGATAGCGGGGTATAGGATGTGTTTGGGGTAGGGGGCTGCCACACTGCCCCTCCTCCTGGGAGATAGTTCTGTGGAGGACACGCGTCTAAGGGTCTGTTCCTGGCCTGCCTAGCTGCTCCCTCGTAAGCATTCCCTGGAGAGGCAGGGCAGCTCCGGGCCTAAGCTCCATCTTGCAGGGGCTAGAGGGGAAGATCTCAGACACTGAATGAGGGCACCCACCCGACCCAGCGAGGTGGACTGAGGCCCAGCTGCCTGTGGGGTCAGGCTGCTTCCCCCCACTCAACACCCCGCGTGCCGGGTGATGTCACCATGAGCTGAGCGCGGGCACCAGCCTGGTGTGTGCTAAATTGACCCCTTGGGGGCCACAAGGGTCTGGCTGGGATTCACGGTGAGGGCTCGGAGCTGCCTCCTTCGGGGGCCACCGGGTCTCAGTGGGTCTGGCCCCTCCTGTCACACCCCTCTGCCTTGTGTGCCAGGGAGGGTCGCTGGGAGAACAGGGTGGCCCAAGGAGCCCCCCTGCGCAGCACGGCCCCTGGAGCGTCCTGGCCCGGGTGCTGGTGCGGTGCGTGCCGGGGGCCAGGACCGCCGCTCCTGAGGGGCTGCGGAGGGCGGCCCTGGGGACAAGAGGTCCCTGGGCTTCCCGCGACCCCACGACTGCAGCCCCGGGAGGGGCGGGGCCCGCGGAGAGCTCGCAGGGTGGGCCGGGCGCATGCGGCCAGCCAGGCCATCGCGGTGGGCAGGCGAGGCCAGGCCGCCACTCCCCCGCCCGCCTGGAGCTTGAGACCAGCGCCGGCCCGGCCCCAGCACCGCTCCCGGGACCCACGAGGGGCGCGGCCGCGAGCTTCCGGCCGGACCGGAAGTGCCCGGTAACAGCGCCGTGCGCGATAACGTGATTCCGGCTTGAGGCGCCCTCTGTGCTCGCAGCTTCCGACAGGTGGCGCTGGGGCCCTGGGAACGCGCAGCTGGCCTTTAGCCCTCGAGCATTCTGGGAGTCACAGTGCTGCCTCTCCCTCCTCCCTCGTTTCCTTAATCAATTCCGGCTCTGCGCGAAGGAGCGCCGCCGTTTCCGGGGAGGGGTGGCAAAGGAGAAAAGCGAGGGCGCATGCGTAGGGACTCCACGGCCCGACAGGCCTCTGGAGTAGCGGTCCAACAGGCCTCGCGAGTAGCGGCCCAACAGGCCTCGCGAGTAGCGGCCCAGGGCCTTGTGGGGGATGTAGTTCCCTAGCTGCGGACGCCGCGGCGCTGGGCCAGCGGAAGACTCGGTTTCCCAGAGAGCCGAGCGCGGCGCCAAATGGAGGCCACCAGGTGGCGGTGAGCCGGTAGGTTTGAGGCGAGGGAGGGTGGCGCTGACGGTCGGGTCTCTGGGAGACCGTCGTCCACAGCCTACTGGCTCGACCCCGGAGACCCCAATGTGCTCCGTGTCTCCCGTGCCACACGGCCTGGGCCCTGGGACCCGAGCCACGTGAGGCCCGGACGCTGGCCCGCCCAGGCCCCCGACACGGAGAGCCTGCTGGGCCCATAGAGCGGAGAAAGCCAAGGGTTTGCTTCCAAGGGGGAGAGAGCGCGGCGAGGAAACCCCGGTCCCGCTCCCTGGGAGCTGGCCTGCCCAGACCCTGGCCCCTCGGAGGCCCCCGACCCCGCAGCCCCACGCCCCCCAGTCTGGACTCGGCCCTGCCTCCGCTGAGCTCACCAAGTCCGCAGAGAACTCCCGGGTCTCTGTCCCCATCTCCCCCTGGAGTGCCCCGCCGGTCAGGCTACTTCTCTGGGTCGCGGTGGAGTCCCCGGCCGTGTGGACGACGGGAGAGCGAATTTGGGAAGCAGGAGTCTGGTGGGAACTCGAGCTTCCCCTGCAGCAGTGTGTGCAACTGGCAGGTGATCTCTCCCTGGCCGGCCCTGCCAGCTGTGAAACACGTCGGTGGCGTGTGTCCCGTGCTCCCTTTCTCTCCTGGAGTTGTTCTTTCACTGTGGGAGTCATGCCCCAGAGCGATGGAGATCTCGTCTGTGTCTGATCTGGCGTGGGGCACTCGCGGCCACTCCGGGTCCACCAACCTGCCTGGTCTCTCGTGGGTGCACGACAGCGGGTCACCCTGGGCTACGGAGGCTTGGTGGGGAGGAGTCGGTGGATGGGTGGGTGAGGCTGGGCTGTCCTCTGAGCCTGGCCGTGCAAGCTGCTAGGTGCCCTGCTTGGCCACGCTTGGCCGCTGAATGAGTGCCGAGTGTGGGCAGCACTGCTCTGCTGGGGAGGGGGAGGTGTGTGGGGGCGGTTACCGGGGAAACGGCGCTGGAGGTTGCTGCGGGCTTGCCTCTGCCCAGCAGGGCTGCTCCTGGTGGTGATCCACACCCCAGCTCCCTGAGAGCTTGACCCTCAGGTGCCAAGGACCTGGCGCAGACCCCTGTGGAGCTCCCAGGGCATCTCCCAGCAGTCGGGAGCAGACCCCCTTGCCTTGGACCAGGCGGGTGGCCCAGTCTTTGAGGACTGTGCTCCGTGCTGTGCCCTGTGGTTAGTAAGTGAGCCTGCTTGGTGAGAGCGGTCTCGTGAAGCGGAGGCTGTGTTTCCCCAGGTTCAGGCCCGGCTCTGCCTACCCACCCCCCCTCCCCGGGCTTAGCTCCCAAGGACCTGCTCTCCGCCTGGCCTCTGTCAGGGCTTCGCAAACCTGGGACTGCCCCTTGGGGTTGTGGCACCACCTCTGCACCTTTGCTGTCTGATCTGATGGTTGGCCCTCCTCCCCCCACAGCCCACTACAGTGGAGCAGCTGAAAGGAGCCGGACTGAGGCCACCACGCCTGTGCCAGCAAGGGGCCTGTGCCAGCACGCCGGTGTCTGCACGGCGACCCTCAGACAGGGGAGGTGAGAGGAGGGCTTTCAGGGGGGCGGGGGTCCTCGGTCCCTTCCTCTGGACGACACCATTCTTAACGCTGATCCTGCCGCCTGCCTAGGGACAGTGGGTCTACAGGGCGGACGTGTCCTAAACGCATGCGATCGTCGGAAACGAACTTGGGCTGTTTTGGTCTAGGTGTGGTGTGCCCTGGGACACATGGCTGAGGCAGGGGCAGGACAGCCCCTGGAGGCTGAGCAGGGGACAGAGTATGACACCCTGCCTTCTGACACCGTGTCCCTCAGCGACTCAGACTCTGACTTCAGCTTGCCTGGCAGTGCTGAGATGGCGGCTGTGTCCCCGGGGGTGCTGCCCTGGGAGGCCCAGGGGGACTCAGACCCCGATGAGCCCGCTTTGCCTCTCAGGGGCCGCCCCTCGGCCTCGGCGCAGCCGTTCCACCTGAGGGACACGAGCTCCACCTTCTCCCGGCGCAGCCACAACATCTTCGACTGTCTGGAGGGGGCAGCCAGGCAGCTACTGCCCGGTGACAGTGGGGACTCCGCACGGCCACCGGCGCCCTCAAGCCAGCCTGCGGCGGAGGGCCCAGGCGGAGCCGGCCAGAGCCCTGCCCTCCCGAAGCGGCCCCCCGTCCCTGACTATGTGGCCCACCCTGAGCGCTGGACCAAGTACAGCCTGGAAAATGTGGCCGAGGCCAGCGAGCAGAGCAATCGGGCCGCCGCGCTGGCCTTCCTGGGCTCGAAGAGCCTGGCCGTCCCTGGTGACTACACGCCCTCTTTCAACCAGGACCCCTCCAGCTGCGGGGAGGGGAGAGTCGTCTTCACCAAACCGGCCCGGGCGGGCGAAGCCAGACCTGAGAGGAAGAGGGCCTTGAGGAAGGCAGGAGAGCCAGGCGGGGCTGCCCCTGGGAACCTGGGAGCGGCAGGGGGCGAGGGTCCAGTGGAGCTGGCCCACCTGGCGGGGCCTGGGAGCCCCGAGGCTGAGGAGCAGAGCAGCGCCCCCGGGGACCTTCAGGACGTGGGCTTGCTCCGGGGGGCTGCCCCCACTGGGTCAGAAGCCGGGCCTCCAGTGGTGGAGACCGTTGGCTTCCATGGCAGCAGGAAGCGGAGCAGAGACCATTTCCGGAACAAGAACAGACCCGAGGCCCCGGGTGCTGAGGTCTGAGAGAAGAGCCTGTTCGCCTGACGTTCCCTGACCAGGCTGGCGGAGGGGGGCGGCCGGGGTCACTGCCCGCCTTCGGAAGGGAGCCTGCAGGCTGCTAGTAGGAGGGACCAGCGTCCTGGGGCGGGGGGCGGGGGGGAGGCTCAGGGGAGTGGTCTCTGAGGCAGACAGCTTGCCTGCGGATGGCAAAAGCCCTGCCCACCTTGTGGGGCAACAGTAAAGGTCGTGGGTATTCCTCAGACTCTGTATCTCTGTATAGACCCTCACCTTAGGGTCTCCTCTGCCGTCCGCCATGTACGGGTTCCCTGCCCCCTCACGTGAGCCCCCCCAACTCGGTGTCAAGGGGACACAGGATTTATAAATTGACGCTCGGTTCCGCAGCAGCACATCTGCCCCCTGAAGGTGTCAGGGAAGGCAGACAGGAGCAAGCACGTACCCCCTGTGCCTGGTACGGGGCTTAGTGGAAATCGGCCAGCCTGCCGAGCCCCCAGAGGGGAAGGAAGGAAGCGGGGACCGACCTGAGCCGCTCACCGGAGCTGGGGGGGAGCACAGGAGCCTGGACCCCGACCCCACAGGACAGGACCCCCAGGTAAACCCGTGTCCACTGTCCCGCGGCCTTCACTGGCTTGGTGTGGCTGTGTTCTCTTAAGATGGAACAACTTTGGGGGCAGTGTCCCGGGGCCGTCGCCCAGGCCAGACACAGTCCAGCGCTCACCACGCCACGTGAGCAGTTGGGGGCGTGCGGGGTGTGAGCCCACGAGCGTAGTAAACACTGGCCCGGGTCCTAAAGGGCAGAAGCAGCCACTGATGTTCTGGATAAATCCATCTTTTGGCGGGTAACACAGGGTGGGTGGGAGACTTGCCCAACAGACAGGAGGTGCTTCAGGCACGGCACTCAGCAAGTGCTGTCAGCCCAGGCCGGGCGGTTCGGGATGGGGACCCACGGGGCTCTCCACCGGCCTGGGAGAGGGCCCACCATGCTCCCAGGTGGAGGGAGGTCCTGGGAAGGTGCCAGGCAGGGCAAGGAGTGGTTCCTTTTGACAAGGCCACTCGAGCCATAGCCCACTGAGGGCTCCACCGGAGCGAGGGGCAGTTCAGTGTATCTTCAGGGGCCCAGGACGGCCAGCTAAGGGCCACGTTCCCGCCTGCCCATCCTGGTCTGGGCCAGAGGGCCAGGCCGGGGCTCTGGGAGAGGTGGGCCCGGTGCGCCGACAGTCCACATGCTCAGGTGTCTGAGAGCAGCCGGCCAGCCTCTGGGTGCCCCCCGCTGCCCACGCCCTCTCTGCGCCCGGCAGAGGCTTGCTGGTGTCCGTCTTCGGTGTTCTGAGAGTCTGGTGAGGAAGGAAGACCCCTCAGCTGCTGGGTGTCCGGTGGGGCGGGCCCGGGGAAGGGAGAGGTAGCTCATTACTGTGAACAGGGGACAGACCTGGTGGCTCTGGGTCGAGGGCTGGGGCAGCAGGGCGGGGGCCTGGCTGAGTCGATGGGCCTCGGCAGAGGGTACCTGCCCCCACCCTAAGGACTGTGGCCAGCCGAGGGCCGTCGGAGACCTGGGCCAGTCCCCTCCCAGGACAGGGAGAAGCAGAGACCCAGAGAAGGCAGCGACGGGGCACAGCGACAGCCCTCCGCCCATCTGCATAGCAGCCTGTGCCCCTCCCCGCCCTCTGCCTTCCCCACACCCCACTTACTCGGGTAGGAGCCGCCCTGGGCCATGGAGGACAGGAGCGCTGTGCAGTAGTCGACCTGGAGGAGAGAGGCGTCCGGGGCAGCCCCAGGCCCTGCTGCCCCGTGACCCTCCCCTCTGCTGGCTGTGCCTGAGGGAAGGGGTGTGGGTGTGGAGTGTGGTGGACAGTGAGGGGTCTTGAGTGCAGGACCCACTCGAGGGAGGGCACGTGTTTTCCAGAACCCTCTCCAGGGAGGGCACAGTGTCTCTGAAGTTGCTTGTGGGGACAGGGACCGGGTAGTGGACCTCCCCAGGGCCTCAGCCTGCCCTGGGCGCGGGGCTGCGGGCGAGGGCCCCCTCCCAGGAGGAGGGCACGAGGTCTCCCTGTCTACCTGTGACTCCAAGTGCTTGAGGCGCTTTTCCTGCTCTCTAAGCCCCCCGAGGTACTTGGCCATGATGTCCACCCTGTGGCAGAAGCGCGTCGGTAGAGGGCGCTCCAAATTCCCAGGTGCTCCCCATCCTCCCCTGAGGCCCTTTGGGTGGGTTTGGGGTCCCTGAACCCTCTCTGGGCGGGGTGCCCTTTTCTCTCACTCCCGGGTCTGGGTACAGAGAGCCCTTCTGAGTCCTCCCTGGGAGCTCCCTGGGTGCTGAGTTCCACGGGGGCGAGACTTGGGGACGGAGGCAGGCAGGGGCCGCGGGCGCCTGGACAGCTGGGATGGACCATTTTGGGGGGAGGCCCAGAGGACGGGGGGAGGAGTTCCACTCGGGAGACCCCAGAGCTGGGAGGACACCCCCTGTATCGGCCCCCCCCCCCCGTCCCCCAAAAGCGGGGCAGGCCAGGCTCCTGCCCCTGCCGGCCTCGGTCTGCCCAGCTCAGGCAGGTGCAGGGCTGCGGGTGAGGGCCCCCTACCCTCAGGTGACGGGCAGGAGAGGGCCCGACACCCCACGCCCCACTCGGGGTCCGGCCCTCCCTTGGGAGGTGCTGCAGGGGACACAGACGCCCGCCCCCAGGCCGGGGGTCCCGGGGCACCCGCACACCTGCAGGCGGTTTTCCTCAGAACCTCCTCCTCGCTGTCCTTTCTGTGTCTCTCCAGCCTGCTCAGGTAGTTCTCCTTCTGAACCGTCTCCCAGGTGACCACCTTCTGGTCCAGGGGCTCCGCCAAGTCTCTCTCTGGGAAGGTCGGGGCGGCACAGGCTTGGCCAGAGCCTGGTGGGCCTCGGGGCCAGGGGAGCCCAGGGCAAGGGCAGCGGGCCTCAGTCACCACGGCTAGCCCGGGCTGTGAGGTGGAGAGAGGGGGACGGCCCCCCTGCAGAGAACTCCAGGCTCAGCCCTGTGCCAGCGGCTCTGGGGGTTGGGGGGGGGGTTAGGGAGGGGGCGCGGCCTCTCCTCACCTGCCCACTGGGCACATCGCCCATCCCCCCCCCCCCCCCCCCCCCCCTGCAGTTCCGGGGCGGCCGGGCCGGGTCCAGCCCTGTGGCCTCACCCAGGCGTGCCCGCCTCTGCTCAGCCCCCTTCTGGAAGAGCCTCTTGAGTGCCAGGCTCAGGTGGCTGAGGAGGATAAAGGGCGGGGCCAGGGCAGGGCGCTCGTGGTACTCCGCGATGAGGTGGTAGCGCTGGAACTTCCAGAACATGTCCGCGTTGCCCTGCACCACCTGGAACGTGTAGCTGTGGGGCCGGCGTGTGGGTGACGGGGACGCACAGGCACCCCCTCTCCTCCCAAGCTGTTGCCAGAGCCGGGGGGCACCCTCTTCTGTGATCGTCTCAGATCACTGACTTCCCTCTGCGGGTGTGTCTGGAATGGAGTCCACTCAGGTCCCCTTCCGCTCTCCTGGACAAGCCCGGGCCTCTGGTTCCAGAGGGGACGACCCTCCCCCTGACCTTCCCTTCCTCGGGGCCCTGCCCTCCCTCTGCCTGCAGCCGGGGCCCGGCGGAAGGGGAGCCAGTGTTTGGGGTGACCCCTCACACTCAGGCCTTTCCCCACACAGGCCCCAGCCCCTCCCGGGGGTGGAGAGACCCCCGCAGCCCCCGGGCCGGAGGGATGAGCAGGTCTGGGCCGGGACAGCCGGGCCTGGGGGCGCCCACGAGGGGAGAGTGGGGGAGGGGCACCTGAACATGGCGATGAGTAGGTTCATGAGCAGCACGTTGGTGACCAGCAGGAAGGTGACCAGCAGGAGGATGACCAGCCAGTTGGCATAGAGGTTAGGGCAGGAGGCCGAGCCCTCTTGCAGCAGGGGGTGTAGGGAGCAGTTCACGCGGGCTTCTGAAACGGGAGTGGTGTGGTGGGGGCGGGGCGGCCACAGGGGCACCCTTGGATCTGGAGGGCCTCCCCCTAGGGCTAGGGCCCCCGGGGACGCAGCCCCTGGCCGGGTGACCAGCTGTCCCGGTTGACGGGGGGGGGACTGTCTGGTTTAGCACTGAAAGTTCCCGTCTCAGGACACCCCAGTCCTGTCAAACCGGATGGATGGTCAGCCTGGGGGCACTGGTCCACTCTCCACCTCCACCTGACTGGGGTCATGGCCAGGCCATACGTTCTGAGGGCAGAGCCATTTGGCAAGTGGGCACAGAGGACCCCAGTTTCTGCTGGTAGTTGTGTGGATTCCCCACCTCCCCACACCAAAGGCTGTGCTCAAAGCTGGTTTGGAGAAAGCTGCCCTAGACACGGGTGACCGTGTCTCCCCCTGCAGGACTTCTCAGGGCCTTTATAACACTAAGGCCTGTCACATGGCACCCAGCCGGGGGGCGAGTCTGCATCACCTCCAGAGCTCATCTGGCCAGGCCGCCCTTGGCACTGATTGCTGCAGGCACCGTGGACACGGCATCTCTGGGCCATGCCAGCTCAAAGAATGTTCTCCGGGCGGTGGGAGTGAATGCTGGGTCTGGGAGCAGGCTGAGCCTTGCGCCCTGGGCAGGCACGCCCTGCGGGGCCCGAGGATCACACCTCTGGCCCCTCACCAGCCAGTCCCCTCCTCACGCTCACGGGATGGGAGGCAAGGAAGGACGGAGCAGGTATCAGTGGGTGAGCACGCAGGCCGTGCATGTGCGCGTGCCCGTGCGCGTGCCCGTGCGCGTGCCCGTGTGGACGCTGCACACGCCCGCACGTTCGGCTGTGTTTCTGTGGCTGCCCCTCCTGGTCTTTGCTCTGTGACCGAGTCCAGGTGACACTGGGGGCCTCTGTCCCTCTGTCTACACCTGTGTGCCCGTGTCCCCACTGTGCACGTGTGTCGGGCCGGCAGGGGCTGTTTGCGTGTGTCCGTGGCTCCCTCTCTGGGGGGAGGCCCTCTCCTAATGTCCCCCGAGTCAGTCTGTGCCAAGAGCCCCCGGTGGGCTGCGAGCGTGCAGAAGGGGGTGGGGAAGCAGCATCTTCCCAGACCCTGCCCTGCCCTGGCCTGTAGGTCTGCTCAGGGCCGATTCCGGACCCTCCTCTCTCCCCTGTGCCCAGGCTCGGGAGCAGTGAGACCCCTGTGACTCTCAGAGGCACCATGAGGCCAGGCTGGAAATTAAAGCGTCCATGGGCCTGGAGGCCAGACCAGGAGCTCCGCCCCAGGGCTCCCTCCTGGCACACGGGGACCGGACGGCGGGGGGGGGGGGGGGGGGGGGGGGGGGGGGGGAGGCGCTCTGGGCTCCAGGACCCCAGGGTGCACACGTTAGTGAACCACCACAGCCCTGCCCCGCGTGGTGGTGTGGCCCAGAGGCCTGAGCAGACAGGAAGCCCAGGCCCTGGGAGGGGAAGGGGCCTGCACAGTGGGCTGTGCCCCGACCTGGCCCCAGTCATGGACTTTGTGCCACAGCCTGCACTCAGACCTTCCCAAGGCAGCCCCCGGGGCTAGGACCGTCCACCCCCGGAAGTCTGCACAACCTCTGCCCTCCCCTGGTGGCCCCGGGAGTGACCCCACCCCTGCCCTCCTCCAGAGGGTCCCCGCAGTACAGGGCTGGGCAGGGCCTGGAGCACTCCGGATGAGCAAAGGAATCCCAGCTGGGCGGTGGAGGAGGCGGAGGGAGGAGGGAGGTGGTGCTAAGAAAACAGTCCAAGGAAAGGGGCTTTCAGAACACCCCAGTTAGCCGGTTTCCACGGTGGCAACGCCCTTCCCCATCTTGGCGGCTCGGGTCCGCTCCCCTCACACTCTCACCCCACTGACAGACACTCAGTGCGTGTGGCGGGCACCCGACCTCGTCTCACTGGCTCCGGCGGCTGGGGCCCGGCCTTAGACACCATGTGTCCGGGGGCGCCCTGGAGCCCCGGTGGCCCTGGTCCGGCACCAGCCTGAGTGAACGGCCCCTGGTGCTGGCTCACTGTCCTGGAGGGGCTGGTTCCTTCTCCTCCCCCTCCTCACCGAGTCCCAGCCGTGTCCGGGGCTTGTCCCCCAAGCCAGGGCTCCCCTACATCTACCAGCCCCCACGGCGGAGCGGCTCTGCCTCCCGCACCGTCCCCACGGTCCTGGGACAGTCTCAGAACCTATGCTGGCTGGCCCTCGGCCCCGCACAGAGGCCGCCTGCAGACGGACGGGAATGGCCTCGGCCCTGCCCCCGCGGCACCTGCCTTGGCACAAACCATCCCAAAGCAGGCCGGCCTCCAGGCCCCCCAGCAGAGGCTGCCTTGCAGCCTCCTGGTGCCTCAGTTTCCAGTCTGGGGCCCACAGGGAAAGGTCTCTGTGACCAACAAAAGTCCTCCCGGAGCCGCCCCTGGGCTGGGCCCGACCCTGTGCAGGTGTGTGGGGCCTGGGGACTGTCCTCAGGGGCCTCCCCATCTCAGCCGGCTCCTCTCAAGGGCCCCACGTCCAGGGTCTTCTGAAAGGAGGCTCCGTAAACTGGACCCCATCTGACGGCACCGTAGGAAGCAGGGGATCTTGTGTCCAGCTGGCTCGGGGACCCCCCCCCCCCCCCCCCCCCCAGGCAGGCTGCGTGCTGACCATCGATCTCGTCCAGCGGGATCTGCCCGAAGATCTGCAGGTAAGGCCGGTAGAGGACGCGGCGAAAAACCCACTCCAGGCGGCCGTCGTGGGGGTGCAGCAGGGCCTGTGTGGTCACGCCGTAGGCCACCAGCCACACACTCAGGAAGAAGAGGAAGAAAAAGACGTCCTTCATCTGGGGGAAGAACGGAGAGTGTTAGCGGCCGCCTGGCTGGGGGGGGGGGGGCGCTATTTCACCAGCTCCCCCACCCCGGCCCCCAGGCGGGACCCGGGGCTCACCATCCGCTCCACAATGATGATCTTGGGGCCCAGCTGCTTGTGGATGGCGAAGATGTGGATGAGTCGGAGCGTGAACACCATGAAGTCCACGGCGAGGACCGCGCGACCCGCCTCAAACACTGAGGGCAGCATCCTGGGGTGGGGGCCGTATTGGGGGTGCCGCTAGTGCCCAGAGAGGGGAAGGAGCTTCCCCCAGGACACACAGCATGGGGGCCAAGGACAAGCCGGGCCTTCTGAGGCCTTCCGAGGCTTCGTCCTGAAGCCAGCCAGCCCAGCGGCCCACCCGAGGGGCCCGCATCCCAGGCCTCTGGGCCCCAGAGACCTGCAGGTGACGCCGATGACGAACAGGAAGATGGCCACCATGTCGCACTTGTTCCAGTGGTCTTCCACATAGAGGGTGAGCTTCTTCACCAGACTCGTGTCCTCGTCCGTGAAGAATCCCTGGCAGAGGGCAGAGGGGCGGGCGGTCCACTGACAGCTGGCTGGGGACGCCCCGCCCCGTCCAGGCCAGTGGGAGCAGGGGGGGGGGGGGATGGCAGGCGGGGGCGCAGGGCCCACCACTGACCTGCCGGATCTCTTCCAGCACCAGTGTGAAGACCCAGAAGTACAGGGTGACCTCAGGCCCAGACGGCCCCCGGGGAGGTGGCCTGAAGTCCACCAGCAGGACGTAGGTGAACAGGAACAGGAAGGCAAAGTACATGACCACGTTCCCCAGGAACACGGTCACGGGCGCCCCCCAGAACATCCGCCAGCGCGTCAGCAGGAAGGCAGCACGTGGACCTCGGTCACCCCGAGCCCTTGGTGCCCCGGTCAGCGCGTCCCGCCTGCGCCGCGAGGAGAGACCACGGACGGCGGTGAGGCCGGCGGCAGGGGCCCCTCGGAGTGAGTCCAGCCCCCTGGCCGGCCCGCCCCACGGCCCTCACCGGCTGCCCGGGCTGCACAGCAGGCTCCTCTCTGAGTCCAGGCCGTCCAGCTCCTGAAGGCCCTCGGGGACCGTCCTCAGCAGGGCCTCCTCGCTGTGAGCACGGGGCACCCTCAGGGCCCGCGGGAAGGGCACCAGAGCACCCAGCCAGCAAAGGAAGCGCAGGGGGCCCTGGGGAGGGATGTGGGCGGGGTCTTTGGCCAGTGGGGGCCCCCCCACCGCCCCCGGCGGCTGCCCGCACCCAAC